CCAAMAGTCTCCTATTAACAAACCTTCATCCTTTTCCTTCCTGCTCTAATCTGGGGTGAGGTTTTTTGCCTTGCATGATGCCATTCCTGTACCTTAGCAAAAGTGACACCACCTGTCAGAAGGTGAGCAGGAATGGATGTAGCTCTAAGTGTGGCACCATACTCTTCCCTGTAATCCATTCTGAAACAATAAATTTAAAGGATATTCAAGTTTTCACCTCTCTACCCAGGTGTGCCTGGTATAAGATGCAACTTCAGAGTCTGATGTTAATGCTGAAAAAAAATACTTTGGWGCTGCAGGATCGAGACTCATATGCATTGTAAACATAGAGATAACTGAATTAGTTTATATTTACCCCRACAAAGTGAATGCACTACAAGTAGGATAAACCATTCTTTATGTGTGCTGAATGCTGGAGAAAACCAGGCAGAAGTCCATGCAAGTATGCACTGAGATATACAGGGAAAATAAGTAAAAGCAGACTATACAAAAACTACCAGTTATCTTTGGTCTTTGAAAAACCAAATTACTTGTACATGCAGTTAGATCCTTAAAAAAAATTCCCCTTGCTACTCCTGGAGTCACTGAAAACTGCTGGTAATTTTGAAAGAAGAAATAGTTCCCCGTGTTGAAATTAACACTGTTTTGCCAAGTACAGTATTTTCAAAATTCAAATACTGCACTGTTTCAGTTTATCCAAGCCCCTGACAAGASAGTCACAGTATGCAGTGACCCAGCACTGGGACAGATTGCCCAGAAAGGGTGTGGAGTGTCCCTCACACTGGGGATATTCCAGAGCCATGTGGACACAATCCCATGTCCTGTSCTCTGGGGTGACCCTGCTGGAGCAGAGAGGTTGGAGCAGGTGACCCYRCTGTRGTCCCTTCCAGCCTGACCATTCTCAGAACACTCTACACATCTCTTTTGAAACTGGTACTTGTACAGAAGGGTTTGTGGGGCAGGTGAGAATCGAGAAWGCCCTGACTTTTGCCAGCTGTTAAAGATGTAGCCAGATGTGAGAAGAGCACATTCCCAGGAGAAAACAGAGCTGGTGCCTGCTTTCACTTTTCAATCTCTGGTACTGATGTTAGAGTGAAGGCTGGCCACTCACACCACGCTGGCACAGAGCACTGCAGAAACACACAGCACTTTGGGGGGACTCCATCGCAGGCTACACTTCTCAGCAGAGCAAAAAATTGGGGCTTCTTGCTTGAATATAAAAAGCCCCCTGGCTACCACCTGAGAAGTGAAGTAACCTGAACTGAAGGGTTAAACCCCCCAGAGCAAGAAGGGCACTCTTTTTGTTTCCTGGGCCTGAGAATTTTGTGGTGACCATTTATATAAAAAAGCAGGCATTGCTGGTTAGATTTCTGAATGATGTGTGCTGGCAGGCACAGCAGGGCTGGGGCCTGATAGAKCCTGGTAATGCCAAACTTGATGAGATTTAGGAATCACGGAATCATTTAGGTCGGAAAAGACCTCCATGATGATCAAGTCCAAGCTGTGCCCAATGCTCACCTTGTCCCCAGCSCAGAGCACTCAGTGCCACCTCCAGTCACTCCTTGGACACCAAACCTCCCTGGGCAGACTGTTCCAATGTCTAATCACCCTTTCAGTGAAGAAATTGTTCCTATTGTCCAACCTGAGCCTCCCCTGGTGCAACTTGAGACTAAGCCCTCTCCTCCTGGAGTGCTGAACTGCAATGAGGCTTGGATAGGGAGGCACAGGTGCTCGAGTACCTGGCCAGAGCTTGGCTGAGGAAACACCACAGGAACAACCTCATGTGGCTTTTGTCCAGAGAAAGGCGACAAAAGCTGGGGAAGGGTCTGGAGGAGAACTCCTGTGAGGAACACTGAGGCAGCTGGGGCTGAACCTGGAGAAAAGGGGATCGGGATGATGTTACTGCTCTGCACAACTCCCTGACAGGAGGGCATAGCTCCAGGGAACAGGGACAGGACAAGGGGAAATGGCCTCAGGCTGGGCCACGGCAGGTTCAGGTTGGACATCAGGAGSAATTTCTTCACAGATGTGATTAAACATTGGGAGGGGCTGCTCAGGGCCGTGGCCGAGTCCCCCATCCATGGAGGTGTTTAAGGACTCGGCACTGGTTGACAAGGTGGTGGAGTGGTGGCTTGGACTGGATGATCTCGGGGATATTTTCCAGTCTCTCTGACCCTACGATTGTTTCTGCCAGCCCTCCCGCCAGCCCGCTCCGGGCCGCCTCTGCCGGAGAGGGGACGGGGAACCCGGCGAGAGGCACCSGGGCGCTCCGCCACCTCCAGCCCGGCCCGGGGAGCCCACGCCAAGGGCTGGGGGGGCTCCGGTGTGGGAA